ATTAACTTTTTTTACTGTGTCCCACTGCAGCCTTCTACCAAATCACATACGGACCAGCATCAGTCCCCAGACCGGGGGTTGGGAATACCTGCTCTACACTGCATTAAATTCCATCATCAATGCAGTGATGCCTTCACCATCCTAGACAAAGTTGCATTTTACAGCCTTTGATAGTACGATTTTGTGTGGAGTGGATAGTTACTTCAAAGGTATTTGGGCTAATTTGTTAAAAGGGTTAGCCCAGAAGAATAGGTCGCTGTCTTAAACCAACACAACACAAGTTCCACCAGCAAAAAGAAATTCATCATTTATTTTGTGTGTGGGAGGGCCGGTATGCTGCATTTTGAGAACCCCAGCTGATTGGCCAGACTGCATGCTCATCGACAATCAGTTTATCCAGGTTTGAGACTTTTCTAAGGCCATTTTGAAATGGTTACAATTTATTTTATTGCCAAATACAAATGTACTCAGTGTTTTGGCAATACCTGTGTTTTTGCTTTTTCCATATTTTGTCCACGTACACTTGCAGCTCCAGCTGTAAAGGTCTGAGCATGGCTTGAGGTCGTGCTCCGTGGTGGACCAGTCGACACACGGCTCTCTCAGCCCCAGTTAAAGGGCAGTGCTCAGATGCCATGATGTCGAACAAATCAAAGTCTTGAACAAAGAAAATGCAATTCACTGAAGCAGTGTACTAGAACACACAACACTGACATGGTAACATTTGGTCCAGGAGCTGATATTACTGTTTAAACAAGATGGATGGAATTTCTGTCAACCACATGACGTCCATATGAAGTTCATATTGTCTGTTGAGTAACTCCAAAAGAATCCACAGCGTTAGCAGAACGGCTCCAAATTCAGACAAACTCCAGCTGAAGATTTCGACACAGAGTCAGGGAAGGGCCAAGAATCACATCTGCTTCCATAAAACCTCCAAAGGTGGACTCTCTGCTCCTGAAGCTGAGACCATCAAACGTCAACACAGAACTGAAGAATCTCCCAAAGGAGACCAACTCTTGGTGTGCAAGTGTCCTTTGAAAAAACAAAGTTGATTAAACTACAGAGAGCATGTTTCATCCATCGTGGTGAATGAAATTAAATTGAGACGGTGTGATCCTACGATCCTCCAGAGACATGGGAACTCTTCCTTTTAGCCTCCTACTCCTGTCCGTTACTGTGTCAGCACCTGGTCACTTTGAACCACAATGAAAAGAGTGACAACAGGTGAAGAGAAAGTGGGTTTTAATGTGGTGACAAGAGAAAGGATGGAGACAAAGATCTAAAGAGACCTGCACCACAGTGAACCAGATCACACAGCTTAGTGAATAATCCAACTGTCTGCTGACTCTAGTAGAATTATTATTAGGTCCTTGGATGATACTATCAAGACTGTAAGTCAAGGGGTATTTGGGTCAAGTCAGCTTTTTAGTGCTACAAATTTGGTTTCTGTTTGAAAACCTGATCAGTTTTTGCTTCTTTCTTTTGGTATTTTTATGACAAGCCCTCATCTAGTGCTTCTTCAGTACTGATTGTATTTCACATCGTGGTAAAAAGTGTCGAAAATCCCCGCTAAGGAAGGACGACACTCTTTTCTTACTTTCTTTGATACATACGTACAAGCAGATATGAAACTTGCTTTAAGGACTCTTTAATTTTAACAGCTTATAATGTAAATTGTATTCAGTCAGACAAGTCTGTGTTCTATGGGGGTGATTAATTCTGCACCAACCACCGTCGTGTGCAGTAAACCAGGTTTTCGTGATTGTAAGCCAGCAAGAACAATAGCAGGAGATCACAGAGAATGAATCTGCTGAATACATTACAGCTGCCACAGTTTTTATAATTTATACCAGCAGTGATTTACCATCTGGTACCTCGCTAACAAAAGAGGTTGTGTAATGATTCTCTGACCCAAGAGAGCCCCATACTGACACCAGTATCTGACCAGATCGAGAAACAGAACTGGACTGTCTTGGCGTCTCATCAAAACATCTTGATGAAACTGCCTTGGGTAACATAATGAAGCCAACTTCACAGCATATCCAACGAGTTAAGCACTTTAACCTTATGAGGTGTTCAATCTTTGTGCTACAATACCCTCAGAAGTTTTTTATTGATGACCAAAATACAACCAACATTTAGGAGGTTTCCTGCATCTGCCCCTTACCTGCATCTGCTCCAATTCCGGAGTGCTTGCGTTAATAATTAAGTTGTGGTGGTTAGCACAAAACAAATGAAAATCACTTCATTTCCAAACTAATCCAGGGTTTTCCATCAGTGCAGCATACAGTATCTCATGATACTGCGACTCAAATTCTATCTAGATATTATAATAATAAGTATTATAAGCCTAACAGGCTCAGTTATGTGGTAACCATGTAAAAGCTGTAAACTCCACAAGCCAGCGACTCAAATTTTATCTAGATATTATAATAATTATAAGTATTATAAGCCTAACAGGCTCAGCCATAGTTATGTAGAATGACAACAAAGACAAAGATCTCCCAGAGACGTCTTTTTCAAAGTCACTTTCGTTCTTGCCATATTTGCGGTCGACAGAGGAGCAGATCTGAGCAGTGTCCTCTGCTATTGTCTCCTCTGATTACCGCTCTAATTGGTTTGTTTGGGAGACACTTATCCCATAATAGCCCGTCTGTGGTCTTGGAGAGTTGCTGTTACCATGGCAGCAGTGTGTACACGTAACTGTACGGGCTACAGGAGAAGATACCGGGGTCAAAGTGAGGTTTGTGTGAGCTTCACAGTCTCGTCTTTCTGAAGTACTGAACAAATCCACATCCACTACAGCACTCACTACTGGGAGTGTAGTAGCACTGAGTAGTCTTGACTGAAATTCACTAAATTACCATTTAATGATGAAAAATTACTTGAGGAAGACCATTTTACTTATTTTATTTTTTCAATGTCATCCTTGAGCCATGGTGAAAAGTAATTGTCAAGGATCCCTGACACTTTCAACCCAGTTTAACAAGCTCTTCAATGAACTGCAGTGTTTCCACAGACTCCATTAGGAATGCGCACAGTCACCAAGTTGCAAACCAAAGCCCCATTGGTTTCTAACTGCCTGGCTGGTGCTGCGAGTTACTTAATTATTAAGAAACATGATGGTTCTCCACAGTAATTTCCAACATCCGGTAAACAATAGTGCTAGCCTTCCCAATAGAACATGATGCCAACTTTAAAACTTAAACTTTAAACGCGCAGTTTTCAGTGAATAACAACCACATTTTTACTCAGAGCTCTTGTTTTACCCATTCATTCTTATTGCAAATTAACTACTGTTCTCTTGAGCCCTGACTAAACTACGAAACTCTGTGCTCAGAGTGGTAATCCAGTCATAATTACAGAGTGCCATGGCCAGTTGTCAGGGAAACCAGAGAGAAACTCTCAAGGAATGTTTTTTCCCCTCTCACAGCGCACGTCTCTCTCAGTCAGCGCAGATCTGTTTGCCCCTCTTCTCACTTCTAACTCCCTTACAAAGATGCATTTAAAAAAAAAAAATCAGCAAGATTCTGTTTCCTCGACCTTAACGACCTTGCTGTCATTGAAGTGACGATGACAAGGCAGTGCCATCAAAGAAAGCCTTTTGAAATTACTGACAGGATTGTTAAAACACAACTAAACTCAATGACAGTCCTGCATTTCCCAAAACCACTGATGCAGTCTCTGAAAAGGATGTTTCAAGGACATGTGACATTTACCTCAAGTGTCATCCTTCCACGGTGAACTCTTTCAACAGGGAGTACACTTTTTTTCCGTATCCTTTCAAGTAAACTTTGAGTCCTTTATAAGTGTTTTTGTTGAGCATTTAACAAGGACAAAAAGGTTTTTAAAATCATAAAGATGTAAAAGAAAAAAAAGATGTAACAAGTAAGCCAGTTTAGATTCTTTCACCGTTGGGTTGTAACGCGGAAAATAAGGATTTAAGGTTTTCCATTTGGTATGTCATATGACTAAGTGTTAATCTGTGATAAAGGGTAGTATTAGGAGAGCATGCCTAACTCCCTGTTGCTTAGTTCAGTTTCCAGCTGCAGCGGTTTGTCCTCCTCAGTTTTGACACAATAAATTCATCAAACTGATATAAAATAAATGTCCGCTGTTGCTTCTCACGACTACCACCAGGTTTTCCCTGTTCTTTACTAAAATAGTTATGCTGAACATATGGTTTTTGCTTGGACACGATACCAGACTTTCTTTTTCCTTGTGTTTTTGTCTCCATTGATCTGCTAGGGCGCCCCCCAGAGGGTGCTTGCGTTACACTTTGAAGACATCTGAGCTAGAATCTCTATTGCCTGGCATGATAGTGATTTGATCCTGTTATGCAGTCGGTCGGAGTCGAAGGGTACATTTATTTAGGCGACTTTGTATTTTGTTGCCAATTGTTAGCCTTTCTTTCATTAACTTCAATTTTATTTTTGCATTTTTATTAACGATACTCTTGTAGCAAATATGAGCACCTGCATGTCTGATATTAAAAACAACAAATCTTGACATCCTTGATAAAAGTTTGGGCACGGCTGGAATCAACTTCATGAATGATGAACCAAATAATATGAAAAGGATCTAAAGAAAAAACCTGAGAATCTAAAGACGTCCCTACAAGCAGTAGTTTTTGTTTCCACAGCTTAAGTGAACACACACAGTAGGTCACACTGTTCCAGTTCTTACAGAACTGTTTGAACTCTAATAGACCAGACAGATAGCATGTACACACTCTACCCCCATTGTAGAAAGGTCATGTGTTGACTCCGACTGTTTGTAAAACAGAAATCCTATATGTTGGTGTCTTTATCTTTGTTTATCAGGGACATGAGAACCTGCAGGGCTTGGAAATGTCACTTCACAGCTCAGCACTTGTTAAGATTCCGAGAAACAAAACAATGTTTATGTTCTGGGCGTCTATTTATATTTCATCAATCACCTTTTTCTTTTTTGAAGATTTTTAAAAAGCCTTAACTTTTGTTTCTTATTCTAATGGAAAACTTATTTTTATTTATTTTTTATTTTATTTTAATTGTTCAGACACCAATCATATTCTACCACTTTGTCCTGGTTAGGCTCACAGTGTGGCAGTCTATATTTAACCCAGTGAGATAAGAAGAATATTTGTACCTAAGAAAATATTTCTCAAATAGTGGCTTGTGGCCCAATGATGCATCACAGGACGAGATGATAACAGTTGTACCGGACAAAAACATGTTATTATTATTATTGCTTATTTATTAATGTTCCTCTTTGGACTTTGTTTGTTTGGTGAATTAAATGCTTTATAACAAGAGTGTTCTAGAAGACACGATCAATTACAAAACACAGATCTGAGTACGACATAACCATTGATCATGTGCAAGAACTAATCGTAGCTATTAACGTGAAATAAAATGCTACATTGATTCTAATTATTGTTGGATTTTTTTATTTAATTTCTTCCAATGCACAACACATCTGTTTTTGAAAATTTTAAAAAATTGCAGAAAACAAATACTCTATAATTCCAGTTTAAAAAACGACATAATAAAACTTTAGATAAATGAATTTGTGACTAATAAAAAAAATAATAAAACTTTAGATAAATGAATTTGCATTGTTCATAAATGCATATTCATACAAACTAATCTACGACTACTGGAACACCTCAGAGTTTTTATCTGGTGACTCAGAGGTGTCTACACATACCAGTACTACTTACTTACTACCATTATCTATTCCTCAGACTGTTACTTTGTTTTTGTGTTATTTATTCATTGAATGAATAAAACATAAATGTAAATGGTGTAAATTTAATGTCACATATTTCGGTGATTAGTAGGTGTAAAATTAATGTCACGTATTTCGGTGATTAGTATAAAGAAAAGCAAAGAAATTAAAATATTCACATTTCAGATACAGAAAATTAGGTTGCTATTGTGTCAATCTATTATTATTATTACTCATTTGTCTCATTGAAAATATTTAAATTTACAACTATCATAAAAATTAGGATATATGTTTTTTCCTGAAGTATATATAAGTAAGCAAATTTAGGGATTAAGTTAGAGATCTAATAATCATCTCCCCAGCTTTAAAGGTTATGGTCATTATGCAAAGACCCATCAAGTGATCTGTTCTAGGGGCAGGGAGATAGAAAATGTGAAGAGTATTGATCGAGTAGTCGTTTATGACTGAGGATCAGTCAAATCCGACAGTGTCAGTGTCATTGTAATGACAGTGTCAATGTCAGGCAGCAACAAGTTCACCTCATAACTGACTGACTGACTGGATCATGCAAATACAACAAAGAGGACAAAGAACCGAGACGTGGTCATGACATGTTGTCTCTAACCAGTATGCAAACACGAACCGCAGCGTCCGTACAGCTGTGTTCAACATGTGCACACAGACCATCCCTCCGAGGTCCACCTCTGAGGAGGCTCCTCTGAGTCTGCTTCGTTCTCACTGACCCCTTGCCAGGAATGAGACTTGGATCTGGGCTCGGGCTGCAGCTGTGGTTCGGTCTGTGAGATTTTAAAATCAGTGAAATCTGGCTGGTCAGCACGTCTCCCCCGAGCCCCAACCTCAACCTCAGCCTGACAGGCTCCACCTAAACTCAGCCAAAAACGCTCTTTGCTGGCAGACACGGCTGTTTGTACCCTTTTCTCCCCCCCGTCCAGCCGCTCCCTGTTCTTTTTGACCTTCTTACTCATTGACAAACCGTCCACATGGACTGAACCCCCTGTCACCCAAGTGGGCTCCTACCTGGAGTTTAGTCTCCTGGTGACCAGGTCCTGGTCCACACCGTTGGCAGCCATAGAACCACTTCTTGTCAGTCTTTCTCTCTCCTCCGCCCGCTATGAGGCCCCTTCACAATAATCTCCTCCAGAGGCTGCTACCGTTTCCTTCTACTTCTTCCTCTTCGCCCGCACTCCCTCCCTCCTTCTCCGTGTCTCTCTCCCCTTCCTTCATTCACCACAGCAATGGCAGCTGCTGAGAGAGTGAGTGCTAGAGCAAGTACGCCATAAACACGCGGCCCCGCCTCGTAAAAGTGACGTCACAGGACACGAAGTGGACGTGTGTAAGACACATTAGGCAGACAGAGTACAGAACTGTAGGTCAGAAAAGATAGAACAGACACAATTACAGTATATTTTTCATGTGAAATTTTCATGAAAATAAAAATAATCACTGAATTTTTGGTGTGAAAGTAGCTTTACGCTATTATAGCATCGTTTCTATCGCCTCTATCTTTCTTTGACTGCCTTAAAGTAATTGGTCGGGCTGCTTGTACATGTAAATATTACCCAGTTAAAAATATCCAGCAGGTGGCAGCAATGTATAAGATGCTGGGGACTGTTAAAAGCCAAAGAAGAAGTGAGGCTAAAGCTGTTAGCTTAGCCGACTCTAACTGTTGATTTTTCTAATTATATATATATATATCTCAAAAATTACATTAAAATTAAAATAAAGTAATCATTCTAGGAATAAAAACTATAATTAATACACGGAGATGACAGGGGAAATTATTTCGGTTTGAAATGAAAATACATGTCATTTTACATTAAATCTACATAGTTCTCATAAAAGTAAGCTCCTCTCCTAATTTAATTTACTGTTTAACCCTTGTTAAAATTAATAAACAGTATAAGAAACATTTGTGAAAGTATTTTTTGCAGTACACACAATTTACCGTAAGATGGCAGCAACGATCTAGTAATTCAGTCCAAGGACTGCGGCTGTGTTACTGCTACAAACGGTGAAGGATATTAATAACATAGAAAAACATTTAACCAAAAAAAATTAAGTATGTATAACGATGATTAAACTTGTGTTTTAAGTGTCACTGAAATAATGTTCCCTAAGTATTTGATGTCCTGGTTTTAACATTAATTAATTTGAGTGTTTTTTATTTTAATAAAATAACATTTTCTGATCTGGTTTATTCATTCAAACCAAATTTAGTCAAAGGTCAATCTCTTTGAACATGTTTGCTCTTTTCCTCATTTACATAAAAAACTCTGCCAGATCATTTTTTGAAGAAAAGTGGACCAAGGGATTTTCTTTGTCATTAATGAAATGAATTCTGCCTTTGGTCACAAAACACACACTGCACATGTGTTGTGATGTTTGCCATCCTGTTATTTTCCTGCTGTCTTTGCTATTTATTTATTTTTTTCAGTGTTTCTTCATCATCTTCTTTTCTCATCATAGACTCTGATAAGAACCTGGGAACATGTATAACTAGATTTGGTATCCAGTGTGTGAAATGCTGTTAGTGTAAAGCCACACAAATGTACTTCCACCCACCGGGAACCAAGTGTTGCTTAATGAACGGAGTCTGCGATGGGATGAATGTTGAACGTGTCTGATAGGCTTAAAGGATCAGGGAGTGTCAGCAGTCGTCAACTTCACTCTGTGTATGATGCAAGAAACATCGTGGTTAGAGCAAAAACAGCAGATGTTTTCAAAAGACCAAAACAGTTATATAAATGTATCACATTTCTTCATAATCTGTATTTGTTTTGTTGTTTGTGTATTTTCTTCTTCTGTTTTTTATTCTGCCAAACTCTTTGCTTTTGTGGCCTGACAGGTTTCTTATTATTTTGGTTTGTTTTTCAACAAGACCGAATTTTAGGGGGGATTTTAGGGGGCTGTGTATTTCCGGAAAACAGTGGGTAGATTAGGCTAACACAGGCATAGGCAAAGTTTTTGACCTGTGGGCCACAATTGTCCTAAAATTGAACAGGGGGGCCGGGTCAGGAGCAGATAGATGGAGCGTTCGTGTGAACGGTAGAAGGTAAATAACATGCAAAAGTTATGCAGAAAGGCTGAAATGTTAAAATACTTTTATCATTTTCTGCGCCATCTATTGGGAAAACGTGGGTATTGCAGGAAAAAGGCAGAAGTATAATGATAATATAAATAAATTATATAATTTGGGACTTTGTTAGGGTGGATTAAAAAGATGAACGGCCCACCTGGTATCCAGTTAGCCCGAAGTTAACCCAGGCCTGGGCTAACTTCATTAAAAAAAGCAAACATTTTCCCATCTTAACTTCTGGACTTCACACAATCCTGTCATTAATGAGGCATGAATGTCTTAAAATAAAGCAATTATTCTGGTTAATGGTCTGAAAGTACAGATTATGTGGAAGACTGTAGTGAGAACAGCAGCTTCAGAGTCCCGTGGAGAGCTAGCGTCCTATCCTAGATCTCTGCGGGACTCTGAATGACAAAAGACAACAACAACACATCAGTCAAACTGGCTGAGATCTGGAATTAAAGACTTGAAAAGACTTTAATTAAAAGAGATAAAAGAGACTGGAGGTGTTGGATCATTTCAAGAAATCTGAGGGACTGATAGATTGGTGCAAGGATAGAAAATCTCAAATCACAATCACCCAGGCAGGAACTTTGCTGACCTCAGTGGTCATTTCCTTACGCTGCATTCTTTTAGCCCAACGCTTATGATCTTCTTGAATTTAAACTGAGCATCAGATGGAGCTGGGAGGGGGAAGGAGGGGGTTCACTGTGGAGTAATTGCAGAAAGAGTTTTTATTCATCTGTTGGGATTTTCTTAGACAGCTAAAATATATAACCCGTACTGTCATATAATAAAGAGAAAATGTGAATTAGCACTTAGCATACTGATGAAAGGGACAAAAGAGAAAGACAGAGCGGACTGAAAAAAGTTTTAAAAAAAAACTAAATATGTTGTATTGTGTAATAACACTAACGCTTCACACGTGTACACATTTTTTCAGTCCACACAAGCTGTACAGACTGTTAAATATGTAAATCTTGGGCTTATGTTGAATACAGTCTACAGACTGAGCCTGTTTACACTTGACCTCTTATTGGAGACAGTGAAAAGATTACCTTCAGTCTGTGACCTCCTTGAACAAATCTGTGCAATTAACATGAACTTTGTCACTCTGTGAGTGTATACATTAATACTAATCCATACATAAAATGTAAATATGAGACGTCAGCTACACTTATTATTAAAGACCCTGGTTTGTCTTTTTTTTTTTTTTTGGCCAACAAGCTCTAAAAAAACTTTTTATTATATATATATATATATATACACATACATATATATGATATTATATTGTTATATTAAATTGACATACCATTCTTCTTACTCTATGACCTACAATGACTATAACTGTACTTTTTCCATTTATTCTTTATTATTATTTGCTTGATTGTTGATTGGTTGTCGCAAAAAGACGTCTGCTAAATTTATTGTAATGTAATATTATAATGTAATATTATATTATATTTCATTATATTGATTTACACGGCAAAATCAATACAGTATTTTCTGTGTGTACCTGTTCTTCTAAAAGCCATGAGGTGGCAGTGTTGTTTGTTTACAGCATATGTGAAAATGGACAAGCATGTAAAAACAACAGATGATGATGATGATGATAAAATGTTCAGAAAAATCCTACAGTAAGTGTTAAAAAAAATTCATGATGCTATAAAATACACATGGAAGTTTTTCGTCTGTGATTTAAACTGGAACTTTCCGAACTCACTGTGTTGCTGAAACCTGTAAAGCTAATCCAGCAGAGGGCGCTCTAAATGCAGCTTGACTATGGGATTATTTACGAGGCCTCTCCTGGCCTTTTTATATAGAGAAGACAAAGACTTCACGTTATATTTTCTGATTTTTTTTATGATGTGTAGTTAAATATTCGTTGACATTTTGTTTGTGTGTTTCTTTGTGTGTGTATGTGCTTGTATTACTGTAATACTAGAAAGATTACAAAGAAGCTGTGGAATATGTCGTCATGGTGCACCCATCTGACAGACTGGCAGCGCTGTGTCCTGCGGTGCTGTTTGCTCCTCTGTTGTGGCTCCTTATTCTTGGCCTACTTTGGAAGAGGTGAATTAAGGGCAACTAGGGGTAAGGGGATTAGATCTCCAAACACGCTCCTCTCCAGTTTGGGATTTTGACCCCATGCCAGACACTTAAAGTCTGCTAGGGATTAAGATAAAGAGAGGAGTAAGAGTGGCGTGTATGGTAGGTTCCTGTTTTTTAAACAACAACAGCAACAAAAAAAGGAAGAGCATGAGCGTGTCAAGGTTGAATAAATGAATATTAAATTAAGGAATAATATCTTATTCTTACATCACCACAACATTTGTTGACCTATATGCCCGTGGCTCGTGCCGTGATGTGGACTTGTAAGTTCTTAGCGGATAATAATTAAATAATGACAACGCTGTTCTTTTCTTTCATCCATTGTGTTTAGTGGATGAGCTTTTCTTTTAATTAAAAACTAGTGGTAAATCCTTTGTTAATATTATCAGTCGTGCTGTTTCCGGATTTCACAAACAAAAGTCACCGAACTTTATATAGTGTCTCCATCCCTGAAATCCACCCAACAAATGTGTGTTTTTTATTTAGCAGTGTTTAAATAGACACAATTAATATTGAAGACGGTAAAATATTTCCAAGGTAATGTTTTGATGAATGTTTTTATGTCATTATTTTAATACCCATAAAGATAACCAAAAAAGTTAAACATGACATCGTCTGCATAATGTGACACTTATGACAATATGTCACGGAACCTCCATCACAACAGCAGCTGAAAGAGGACATCATTGTCCTTGATTTTGTGACATCCATCACAACAGCAGCTGAAAGAGGACTATAAGGTCTTATCTTGTGTTATACATTATATATTAGTAATACAATATATGTGTAGTTGTATACAGTACGCCAGCGAAGAGAGTTTATTTATCTTATTTTATTGGGTGTTGGCTTACCTTAAACAATGTCTACTTCAATATTTCTGTCCAATGCTATGATTACACATGTCAATATAATATTACTAAGATAATAATAATGCTTTGCAACATTCATTAATTCATTAATTAATACATTTGCATTTCCCCTTATATTGTATAAGTGATTCAAAAACAATTCTGGGGTCTATAGATGGAAGTGTACGATCACAACATCACATTCATTTTTTCTTCATTTCTACTTCTTTAAAGCCGTCCTTTGGGAGGGTCTTTTTTGTCTTAACAAAGGCTGTATGTTTGGGGGGGGGGGTTGCTCATCCTGGGTAAGAAAAGGCAACAATCCTCCAAGAAAGTGGGTCATGAGTCTAAGACTGTGGGATTACCAACCATCAGGCAGGCATGTGCCGGCCCACCTCTTCTCCGTAACCCCCCACCCACCCAACGACTGACATACACACACTTGTGCAGAAATAAATTAGACAAAAAACACACACAAACACTTCACTGTTCCATTACCAAATAGACTAAAAATGTTCTACATTTACCGTCGGGAGTCGAACTCGCAAACTTTAAGTTGTAAGGAGGAAGTTTACAGGTGGAAAAGATTATGTCACAGTAATCATGCATGTATTTTAACATGAGTCTAGTTCTGGCATGTCCAAAGTCCGGCCCGGGGGCCAATTGTGGCCCGTGGTCAAATTTTATAGGGCCCACCAGAATTGTGCTCAGAATACACACAAAACTTAACCTCTCTGGATATTTCTTTTTATTTTATACGGTGTTCTGATATGACGGTACGATCTGTTTAGATTTGTTATCCACGTGATTAGATAAAAAAATACAGTGTTAACAATTAAATTTCCCCTAAATACTTCATTTGTGTTTACAGTTAACGGTTCAAAGAATGTCAGGCAGAATACTTGGTCCTACCACTGACTTCACCAAATTTGAAAAAATGGTTCAAAGACTGACTTCACCAAATTTGAAAAAAACAGACAGCCCTGGTCTAGTGTTTGTACGATGGGCCATAAAGAGTTACTGCTCTTACAGTAACTGTGTGCAGTAAACAAGCACAACAGAAGGCCCATCCAACTGAAGCACTGTGTCTCAGTCCAGTCACTCAGCTACACAACACAGACCATAGATTGATTAGAGAAAAGTAAACAAAGTGCTCAACTTTTAAAGTCACTGCAAAAATGCCAGCATGTCAACCCACAGGTGTGGCATTTATACAATGTCCCTAATGAATAATTTACAGAATGCAGGCCCGGCTCAGCAATAATGAAATCTAATGGCGACACAATGATGAATGCAAGCTTTTAAACAGCTGACCCCCGTGATACTAATAGCAGGCTGGTTGTCTGCCGCGCTCTGACATGGACTATGATTAATCCGCAAATAAATTACTAATAATAAATACATTCATTTTGCAGTGGGATGATTACATCCATCATTTGAGGTCACTGTTGCCGTGTACAGTCGCTAATCAGTGTCACTCTGCTCGCGTTCCTCGTAGTGATGGCGAAAAAACAGGATATACATCAGAGAACGGTGGTTTCAAAGTAAATGTTAGAGGAAGAAAGGGTGCCAGGCAGCCCGGCTGGGGGATATAAATGTTCAGGTTTGGATAAAAATAATAAGACAAAATAATTCTTTAGTCATACTTGTGAATTGGAGATAAGTATGTTTAATCAAGATGATGGTGCACACTAGTGATTCTGCATGAATAAAAGAAAATATTAATGTTTTTGAGTTGTGCTTCTTAAAAATAGATGGAGAAATAAACATTTCTTTAGTAAAATATAACATGATAATCTCTTTAGAAATCCATACAGACTCAATTTGATGCCTATTAACGTGATGAAGTGCATTTAAAGGAAATGTGTTTAAATAAAGCCATTACTGTTAATTTTATGTCAGAAATTTTACTTTAAGTAAGTAGAAGAACCCAATCATATTTTAATAGCTTAACTGAAATAGATGATGAGCATAATTTATTTATTTTTTGTATGTGTAGTTTTTTTTCAATTATTTAGGATGTGACACCAAAACTAAATAAATAAATGTTATTATTTGAAGGCATTCAGTTTAGTCCACGTGGTGAAACTGAAGGGATTTCAAGTGAGTGACATTTGTCAGTCTTTATATTAGAGAGTGAAACATATTGAATAAAGTGTATATTGTCAATGAAGATAAAACAGTGTTAAATCTTTTGAATTTATATTTGTGTGTTATGATGATGTCATACTGCAGGGATCCAGCTTCAGCAGAGTTTTACATTTAAAGTGCGTATTTGTGACTGTGAACAGACAACTTGGAAGATTTGCAAAAGAAAAAAAAATCTCGCAAATATTTTTTGCAAATACACGGTAAACAAAGTGATTCTATCAGTGATTCTGTGGCTGCTTAACTTTAAATACCACCGTCAGACAGACCCCACAGCAGGACAACATCTGTAGTGACAAGCTCTGCCTGAGAGGTTTGACCTCTGACCTCTGTGACATTCTGTCTGGTGGCTTATCAATGGCCTAAAAAGCTGATATTTCCCACCCTGGAGACAAAGAAGGCTAAAACACACACACACACACACACACAGGGTCAAACTTAACCAGTCCAGTCGCTGAGACAGAGCATCAGACCTGACTAACAGCACCGCCCCTCATACACACACACACACACACGTACATAAATGGATGGACAGTTGTTGGCCATCATTGTCTGAGCACCTAACTGGGGACAAATGCTGGGTGGTAAAAGTGTCAGCGGCTGACTGAAGAGTCTTTGTGCTGTTTCCAGTGGTAGCAGTCAGCCCTTTGTTTCCTGGGTTGTTCTCCATTAGCATATCAATATTCAAAAGGGCCGATGCTGGGCAGAGGTGGCCGCCTTTTCAGCCTGCAGTAGACCCTGATGCACTAATAATGAAACCTGTGTTCAACTCTGGAGGGCCAGCTGTTGAGTTTAACCCTTAGGAGATAAGAGGAGGACCGGGAATCATATTTGACCAAGAGTTAAAAAATCTCCTCAGAGGCGTGTGTTCACTGTGGCTTCAGGCGTCAGAATGTCATATCAAAATGTCTGACACTGCACTTCAAACAGTTTTGACCCATTTCCCTGCTGTCTTGGAGCAAATGACAAAACAGATAAATGATGCTAGTCATTTCTCTCCACAATACACCACCCCTCCCCGCATCCGTCCCTCCCCTTCTTCAGATCAGGCCAGCTGACCCCCAAGAGTGGCAGGACAGGGAGACAGTTATTCATGTGTGTGTGTGTGTGTGTGTGTGCCACTAGAGGATCGGTTACTCCGACGACCCTGTAGAAAAGCGGTTGGACAGTTTAGCCAGCTGCCGAGGGAGCGAGCGGTGGACGGACTGGTCAGTGAAACCTCGCCGGATGGAGCCATTTCAAAACAATAAAAGATGTTGGATGGGTTTGAAACCAGAGGCTGGTCGGGGCGGATTTAGGGGTTTTTTTTGTCCTGGTTTTAAAGAATATCATTTAAATGTGTGTAATGCTTGACGTTTGTTCTTTAGTTTTTGCCATCGTCTCAGATACGTCGTCTGAACAACATCCAAACATTTTTGTTCCTTCATCTCATTTCACTGTTGTTCTGTGACAGGTCCACGAAGGTCAACTTTGATACCAGTCTTTCTGACCAGTGTCTATCATGGACAGACATTTACTCTGCATGGTCCTTCTCCACCTCATCGTCTTCTCCGTCTTCTTCTTCATCTTGGTCTTCTCTCCCCTCAGACAGCAACAGGCTGAAGTGTCCTGGGACTACTTTGCTCAAGAGTAACCAAGCCTGGGTAATGAGGCGTGTGATTGGTCCCCTCCCTCCAGGACAAGGCCAGTCTTTGGAGGACATGATTGATCATGACAGGAGCACAATGGCAGGCTGGTGTCAGAGGGGTGGCACGGCCGCACATGGACCCCCCCCACCCCTGCCTGAACCCCCTTCCCTCGGACCTTCAGCTCAGCTGTGCGTCAGCAGTTGAACACAAACATAACTCGAACGTGCCTACGTACATGTACGCAGTTGACAACACAGAGACGCAGTAGTGGACAAGAGTGAGACGAATTTTCATCACGTTGCTATTTTACACAGCACGTCATATTGAATGCAGCAGTTCAGGAGATGCAGGCTTTCATAAATGTAAATGCTACGACGCTAACACTCTAATTTACGTTTAGGGACCGGCTTAAAAGTATGTGTGAAGCATTCTTTATCTATGTTTAGGGACCGCTTAAAAGTATGTGTGAAGCATTCTTTGGGTCGCATCCCAAAGAACACTGTACCTACTTAAACATATGAACCGCAGATGTTCTAAGGAAGAAAGAAACGATGTCGATGGACAAATCAAAGAATACCACAAGAAGTCAACAGCTTCACTGACTACTAGTCAACTGGCACAAGAGCATTGCCAAGAAAACACTAAAGTGGTGGTGTGACCAAAACACAATAAAGTCTGTCACATATACAGACGTACAGTATAGTCTTTCTGTGCATTCTGGTACCTCATGGTCCATGGACCCACACTGGTCCCCAGCCCGGTGGTTGAGAACCCATGAGGCGAAAAATTATCTCAAGTTGACAAAAAGGAATGTTATTGGCTGACCTTTACAATGACATGTTGTCTGAGCGGTAGAAAATCTCTGGACTAACCATCAAATCAGAAGGAACGTTGGTGATTAGCTAAAAAAGAACGACCAATAGGAAAACATCAGGAAACGAACCTTTTAAAGACTGCATCAAATGGCCGCAGACTTTTATTTTGAAAGCGTGTACAAAACCGACTACAGGGATCAATTGATTCACAGTTTTGGCCTTGGAGTTTATTAAAGCACCTTGTCTTCACACCGTATACTAAAAAAAGCCAATATCTTCTTCAATGAAGTCTGCAGACATTTCTTGACAGCACAATGAAAAATAATACAAATATCTACATGTTTTAAGAGGGATAAAAAATGTTGCCAGATTTTGTTTTTTTTATCAGTATCAAAAACAAACAGCAAACATCATGGATGGATGTTAGCTCTGTCCTTTCAGGTAAGTGACCCTCCCTGGAGCCGAGCCAGAGTTTTCATACAGCGTCTGTTCTTTTGAAGTAACCCTGATCCACGGTGCACTTGAACCTGCGCACATACTCAAGGTTCAAAATCAAGCTGTCGTCGGTGCAACAGGCTTTATGGAGGATCATTAGTGGGTGATCGCAGCAGCTTCTTCAAGTGGGACCCAGGTGTGGGGACATTTTACCAATTTCCTGTGATGGTGCTCAGAGAACAGGATAAAAGCACTGGCACGTTTACAGCATCCGGCTGAAATATTATTCATGAAAACCCAAGGAAAACTGGCTGTTTTTTTTTAAACATCTTGGTGACGTCAGCCCAACAGGAATAACTGAGTTCAGGGTTAACTGAGTAACAAGAGAAATAAAGAAAAATAAGGAGATAAAAATCAAATGGAATGACAGAGGAGGTGGTGAGAGATTAAGGTTGATTATTAAATTCTCCCTGTCAAACACAATCCATGAAAAAACATCCACAGTCTCTGTGTTTTTTCTGTGTGGATTGTTGGAGGGATGATAACGGGGTCACAAGTGGTGGAGGTATAATGAGAAAAGAAAAAAAGAAAGAAAAGGAGAAGCTAATTGTCCGGCCTGGACTAATGAACAGCGCAGGTCTAATTGGCTTACACTACTTGAGGTCTGGACTGCTGGCTGAGTAAAATTGAATCAAAGCTGTAGGACTTCACGTCAGAGCAGTTTTGTGTTGTGCTGGTAATTGGCACTGCGGCGTCAGAGGGCCGCGGACATGGAGAGCAGCCGAACAGGCGAGTGCAGCTGTGGAATGGAAAAATGTATTAAAAAATAATTTTAAATATAAATTTGTGTAGATACGATGTTTTAATGCTAAATTGATAATATTTAACCCAGTCAATTTTTCTAAAAACGTATCGTAGGAAATCGTTATGATTCGGTACGATATCAAATATAACGTATTAAAACTGATTTTAGTAGCTTTTGGGGAAAACAAACATCTGCCTTTGTCTGGCTGGATGTTTAACCTCAGTGTTGATTGTGATGCAACCGCCGCTGTTTGTTTGGCTGTAAACCTGTCGGTGTGTCGGTGTAATGTACGGCTGTTTGTGTTGGCTGTTCGTCTGTTTGTCTTATTAAAGAGAATTTACTCTCATTTACTTTTATTTCTGGATAAATAAAACTAACAATAAGGTCAATTTTCAGCGGGTTTTTTACGTGGGTTACGTGGTAATATTTTAGATATTTTAATGTCAGGATGAGGACATGTGAGTCGTGGCCTATATACTGTATCTCCTGTTAGGTTCGACCTACAGGCCGACACCGAAGCTTTAACGGCACGCAGGCTCCCGCACTCACAAGCGATTTGGTCTATTTTTATTCAAACAAAAGAAAGACGCAGCGGCGCAAACGTAGGAAAACAATGTGCTGCGAGCGCTGCGCAATTTCCCTATTGTTCGTCTTAAAAGAAAAGACACGTGCACCCCAACACAAATAAGGAGGAGGGAGAGGGCAAGCGTGTGTGTGTGTGAGTGAGTGTGTGTGTGCTGTTGAAGACACACGGGGGATAATATAGGAGCAACACACACGCCTTCAGCCTGTTGAGAAAAGACCCCCCGCCCGCCCTCCCGCCCCTCCTTTCAGCACCCTGGACAGAGAACAGGCTGACCGTCGGTCACTTGTAGACGAGGTGAAGCCTCACACAGTGTCGGACTCTCAGTCTCACTCTCCTCATCCAAACGCTTGACTTCTGACGTGTTTATCTGTCTCCATCTGACACGGAATCGTTGAGCCACCCGACGACAGAAGTTTCCGTCCTGGGTTCCAGACATCGACCCAGGTTCTTCTTTTTTTTTTGGAGGGAGGGGAGAAACATCTGAACCGAGGGGAAACGCTCCCGAGAGGATAAAGTTAAACTTTGGGTCGAATTCGGGAGCTCAGTTAGACTGTTGTTGAACCGCAGGCGTGCTTCTCCGGGCGCCAGTACCTCAGCTTGGGACACGACTATCAGGACGTTGTCCAACATGTTGCTGGAACACCCGGGGTCAAGTTGTCAAAACAGCGGGAATTTCCCTCGCTACAATTCGGGCCAAGGTAAGAGTCCAGCTTCGGCATTAAATCTTCTTTATAATTTGACAGTATGGTGTCTATCAACCCGCAGAGTGAAGCACAGGGGGCGCCGGGGTCCGTGGATAATCAGAATTAGGCGTGAAATTGCAGATAATGGTGCTGCATGAACGGGATGCGTTCTGTTTTGTGGCTTGACAGCCGCGGGCCTGCTCTAAATTTTTGTCCCGTGCTTTTTCAAAAAAAAAAAAAAAAAAAAAAAAGTTCTAAATTTACACAAATAAAATGTGCAGAATCTGCGGCTGCACGGACCTTCTTTGGGGGGCGGGGGGGTCTTTTTAGGGCGCCTCTCTTCCGTGTGGGAGACGTTATGAATGCGTAATGAGGCTTCATTGTGGGAGAGTTACACCAACAGATGTTATGCGCGTGTTGTCATTTCACACCGCGGATCCTGGTCGTCACGGGAGCTCACGCAAGGAAGGAAGGAAGGGGCGCAGGGAGCGGAACTGGGGGGAGCGAGAGAGAGAGAGAGAGAGAGAAAGAGCAAGGCGGAGCCCGTGGGGCCACAGCAGGTTCTCAGCGGCTGGACGACAGACAGGCTGCAGGCGAGGTGCTGCTCCCACCCCGCAACAGGTGTCACATTCATGCCCCCGACAGGTGGGACACCTGAGGTACAGGGCGAAGGGGCTGGAATATTTACACGGCGGGAAATTATATAAATGAACACAGGTTAAAATTCAACCTCAACAAATATACTTTATATATAAACGATATACGTATCGTCTATATAGACGATATACGTATTGTCTATATCGGTACAAATTCGAGGCTCAATCCAACAACAAATTAAAACCCAGGGAATAACTCAGTCGCCGTGACTTTCTTTGACCACACAGCGACTGTATAAATACCTGAGTGACCATTACTTTGATGGTCATTTTATCACTTTGTTGTCGCATTACTGTCGGCCTCTCCCACCTCAAAAGTACGCGATCGATACGACATAAAAATTATTACAAAGCTGAAAAGTATAAGAGGGGCCAGGCCGTGGACCTCCACTCAGCTTTCTCCAAAACGTCTTTCATATACTCCTGAAATACAGGCAAATAGGGCATTGATTTTAGATTCATCAGCGGCTCCTGGTGGCCGTGGCACTAGCCGTGATTTCCCCAGGCGCTCTTTTGTGGCAAAGATCAGTGTCAATAAAATTCATTGGGGTGTTGGCCCGATCAACATGTTATTGAACAGCCAATCTCTGCCCTAAATAAACACTTGTCTCTGGGCCACTCGGCACACGCATGTGATGGCGGTGAGCGGCTCTCTCTGTGTATGTGTGTGTGTGTGTGTTTGAGCGCGAAGTTGTGCGATATTTAATATCTCCTATTATAATCTGATCAGCTGGATTTATAATCAGAGAAATAAGAGTTCGATTTTAAATGGAAATAATGGAAACGGGTGACGAGATAACAACAACAACAACAACAACAACAACAACAACAACAACAACAATAATAATAATAATATCTTACTCACTGGCATCATTTGTTACCCACATATTCATATTGAACGTGTTCCAAAACACTTGTGGACAGGTTTTATTTTCTCACTTGGCAAACTATGAAATAAAGTGTATGAATTTTAGACTTCTTATATATATGTATATATATATATGTTATAAATAAATAAAGGTCTCTGGTGGTATGTTTTTAAATAAATAAAGACACTAAAAACATAAAAATAATATTAGTCCAAGGGTTTCCCAGAATGCAGTCGTCTCACATTACGAACTGAGTTAATATTCATTTATGACATCATGTTGGTTTAAGGTTTTCTCTTTTCCATAAACTTAAAATATTTTGTCAGAATCTTTACGAAAAATGATAAGATAATATTCGGCGGTGTCAAACGGATTGGAGTTACCTGTTCTTGTGAGTATTATAAAAACAAATTTACTATTAGAAATATAACTTTTTTTTTCTTTATGCATTGTCACAAAACACTACAAACTGATAAGGAAACGTTTTTTTTTTCTTTATGCATTGTCAAAAAACACTACAAACTGATAAGGAAACGTCTATGCGGTTCTTTGTTGCAATTAAAGGCCCTTTAGATTAACAACACAACGTGTACAGGGAATAATATGACGACATCCAATCATTGTGTAACATTTTAAGGAAATACTACAAAAAAAATTCAACTCCAAAAAGGCCATAAACGGTATCGATCGTCACGTGGAGACAAAAAAACAAGTTCCATCTTGGTCCTAAAGTCACGGGCTACAGTCATGTAGGTCGGCTGTGGTTCCACAGTGGAACGCCATTGGCCTTCCCCTCCTCACCTCCTCTCTATTCTCCTTCCGGGTAAGAAAGCCCGAGTGTGTGTAGGTGATGTTAATCTATCTCCCTGTCGCCGGGGAAACGGCTCAGCAGCAGCAGCGTCATCGTGCACTGGCTGCCGTGAACCTCCAGTGGAAACTCCACCTGGCTTTTACGCACCGCGTTTTCGCCCCCCAAACAGCTAGAAATAGAAAAAAAAAATTAGTGAGCGAATGTGAGCGCACGTGTAGGAGCGAGGATAACAGAAGGTTGGGGTTGATTTGCATGAGAGTGAGCGTAAATCATGAGCTATGGATGGACATGGTGACCGCAACACTCCGAAAGAGGCGCAGAATAACAGGGAGATGCTCCTCGCTCTGCTGTCGCACAGTGAGGAGCTGCGCAAAGGTAACGCAGTGCCGATGTGTTCTTGGTTTGTTTGTTTGTTTGTTTGTTTGTTTCCAAAACAGTTTCGATGTTGTCGTGTGAGGTGTCTCTCTCTCTCTCTCTCTGTGCTGGACTGAGAGGTGTTTGAAGGCTGTGTGCTGATTATCTGTCGGCTCCATAAGTGCAGCCGTGCGTGTGTTCATCAGGGAAAATAAAATATAAAAAAAAAATGAATAAAAAAATTGTGTACTGCTTTAAATTTTTAAGTAATTTAAAATAAACATTTTAACCTTTTCATTTTGAAATTCAGTAGGTCTTACGCATTTTACGCACCGCTTTATGACGGTTCGGTACCGTAGCATATTGAAGAATTAAAAAAAAAAATCTCAATTTCGATATTTTTTTTTATAATCACCGAAATCGTACCACCGTCTTACTTAAAATTACATTGTTATTTATTTAAAACTATAACAAAAAAAAGGTCCTCTGCTCCAATTCCAACACAATAGGAAATAAGGACGATTCGATATGTATTTAACTATATTTAACTCTTTCAATATTCCAAGTGGGCCCTGCAGGGTGAGCAGATTGCCCTGGACTCCTGCTCCTGCGATCTAGTTTTACACAGCGCGTTCAATAAATGATGAGCTGCATCCACCTGTTCCTGACGTGGCTCCCGTCGCAACAGAGCGGGGCCTCGATGCTGCTGCAGGTGGAGGTGGAGGTGGTGGTGGAGCCAGAAGAAACGCGTCGTTAATGTTTCATGAAATGTCCAGAGCAGAACAATGGGAACGCGATTCCTCGCAGGGACGGAATATGAAGTGGTTGAGCTCCTTTTCATTAGTGACAAGGAGGCCTGAGAAGAAGTGTCTGCTCATTTGATCTCATCATAGTTAAATAATAATAATAATAATAATAGGTTAAAAACATCTTTAACAATTTTTACTTTTGTCTCCAGAGTCTTTACCCTATTTTATAATATAATATAAATAATCATTTTATTTACTTGTTTTGCCAAGTATATTATTGTTCTTAAAAATAAGAAAAGTGGCTGCAAATTAACGACAATTTTAAAATTAGTTTATAATAAAGAAATTAAAAAAGTCCTACAATTGAACCAAACTGTAAATAATCAAGGTTTTCTTTTTTGCGTTTTTGTTTAGTTTTTTTTTACTAGGTGAACGTTTGACAAACTATTTATAATATGTGAAATAAACACAACACAACCATTTGGTTAAACTGAAGTGAGAGTCAATTCAACCGTTTGTTTATATAATTTATAAATATTACTAAATTACAAAGAGCTGTAAAATATTTAGTTTATCCAGTCACAAACAAAGTTTATTTTCTCCCAAATTCGGCCCTAAATAAACCTATTTAATTATTCACAATAATAATTCAAAACGATACAATATTTTTAAAGAATTTTTTTTTTTTAGTTTCAGAATAAGTCCAGTTAAAACATTTATTTTGACTGACAGTTTTGTTTCAGAATAACTCAGTTAAAACATTTATTTTGACTGACAACAAAACGCATCACGTTCACGCGGCTGATCTTTATTTTGATGCACAAATCTTTTTTTTTTCTCTCTCTTTCTTTTTGTGAGACCTGCATAATTCAGCAGTCCTAACTATCAGCAGATAATATTTCAGCGTGTTCTCTGAGCAGCAGCAGATCAGGTGTCACCCCATGAGTCAGGGGGCCGAAACCCCCATCCCCCCCCCCCCCCCCACCACCCCCCCACGCCTCCATGCAGGACAACGAGACCTGCATGTGTACATACAGAAGAGAATAATAAAAAAGGTGTGAAATAATTCCACGCTGTCACCCCCGCAGACATCCCCGTGTGTGCAGGCTGCAGTCAGCACATCGTGGACCGCTTCATCCTCAAAGTGCTGGACCGTCAGTGGCACAGCAAGTGTCTGAAGTGCAGCGACTGCCAGGTCCAACTGGCGGAGAAGTGCTTCAGCAGAGGCGACAGCGTCTACTGTAAAGAGGATTTCTTCAAGTGAGTGCCGTGAACGCAGCATCCGCACTCAACACACACACACACACACGAACGCGCGGGTATTTCACTAAGGGCTATTTTGTCTCTTTCGGAAAACAGGAGATTCGGCACCAAATGCGCGGCCTGTCAGCAGGGTATACCGCCCACCCAGGTGGTCAGGAGGGCGCAGGACTTTGTTTACCACCTGCACTGCTTCGCCTGCATCGTCTGCAAGAGGCAGCTGGCCACAGGAGACGAGTATTATTTGATGGAGGACAGCAGGCTGGTCTGCAAGGCCGACTATGAGACCGCCAAACAGAGAGGTGAGCTGACTGGCTGACTGGCTGACTGGCTGACTGGCTGACTGGCTGACTGGTCATCAGTGACGGTGCGCACAAAAAACATCTTCCCCTCAAAAACGGCCTCATCCACCATCAGGTCAAATGATAGATGTAGATCTTAGCTGCATAGATCATAATTACTAACTGAGGATTACCGTGAGCAGTAATTGATAATTAAAGGAATACGGTTGAGTTTCTCAGTCTGGTGAGAAATAAAACTGAAGCTACAGTAGAAAAAATTCTCACATCAACCATCAGGACAGTGACGCTATAGATTTAACTGTTAATTTTCCTCATTTGCCTTGATGTGAGTTATTTGTAAATCCTGACAATTCTTAATACAGATATTGAACAATTACATGTATTTTTCAATTTTTTATTTTACTTGTCCACAAAAAACATTCTTCTGCTTTTTGTCAAAATTATAATATGGATGCTGGTATTCAGATTTTTAAATTCAAAATGTAAAATTTCATGAGAAAATTTTAAATCAGAATTCACAATTTAGAAAAGGGGACTTTTGACCAAAATCAGTGAACTTTATTTAATGATTTTCATTTGTAAATATTTTGTTATATAAAATATATTAAACGTTCTAATTCTGATGAAAATATTTTATCTAATAAAAGAAATCAGATTTGTACAGATCTCAGAAATCTAAAAAAAAAAAAGTAAAAATACTGGCATTAAATCAAGAATTTAGAAAAATTTATAAAGTCCAGATTCACCTAATCATGTGAGAAATTTTGAAAATCAATGAAACTTTTGACTCAATATCACAATAAATAAAAACAAACAAAAAAAAGATTAATGCCTTTTTACATATTAATCTGTAAAAATAAAAGTCAGGATTTTGAGATCAATTTCAGAGAAATAAAATAAATGTGGCTATAACCCCGTTCTGTTCCAAAGTTACAGTAAAACAAAATTCAAATATATATGTTTTTTAATTTTTATTACCCACTGACTAGAAACATTTACATTAGACACCCAGTGGTGTAACAGCTGGCAGACTGTCCATGGTCACGGTTTTATCTCTCCATCTGTGTGTTTGAATTTACTGCTCCACACCAAGCACTGATTTATGCGGCGAATAAACTGAAGTTTTCTCTAAAAACACACAAGTTTATTTTACTAATGAGAGGGCGCAATTACACGGGTGGCATCCATTTAGATGATGGTTTTCGTGTTTTGCTGCGCTGGCCAACAGATGTGCAGACATGATGCAATTAAGCACAGGATGCCAGAAGTTAGTTTATGGGGCAGGGAGGGGGGATTTATCCATTCATGGGGAATTAGAGAGTTGTATATTTTATAGGCTGCTCCACGCTGATTGAATAGATGCACTTTACATGCACTGAAAATCTCCATGTCCTTCGTATGCAGTGTTTGTCTAACCATCAATGCAAAAAGTGAGTACAGAGGGTCCTCGACTTACGTCAGAGTTCCGGGTTCCTACGATGCGACATAACTCGATTTTCGCCGTAAGACGGAACTCACATATCGTACAAAAGTCACTAAACATCATAATCTTGGACATAAGAACCTCAGAAGAGTCGGACTATCCAATGTGTGGCGTACAACCGGCCAACGTAAGCAAAGATATCTTCATATACCGCTGCGTGACAATGTATTCGATCGCGCCACTCACCAAATAGTTCCTCTGGTTGCTGAGTTTTAACGCTGCACTTCAGAATGATGAAACAAGACTTTGTCAATAAATGAATAAGACATGGTGACGTAACCACGAAATACCGCAGGTCAAAGACGTCGTAAACCGAGGATCCCTGGCATTTCCTGAGGTCCACATTAACTCAAACTATGTTTTTGTTCTTCAATTTCTACAGAAGCAGATTCAACCGCAAAAAGGCCACGGACCACCATCACGGCCAAACAGCTGGAGACCCTGAAAAACGCCTACAATAACTCTCCCAAACCTGCACGCCACGTTCGAGAGCAGCTCTCCTCAGAGACAGGCCTGGACATGAGAGTTGTGCAGGTAAAGTACATTATTGTCCATTAAAGGCTATTCCATTAGTGTCCCGGACTTCATTATCAGGGCACAATTGCCGTCGAACTGGCACAGGCTCATTGTGAGGATAAAGTGTGCGGTGTGTGTGAGTGAGTGTGTGTGTGTGTGTGTGGTGGGGGGATTTACGGCTAGACCGAGTAAAATGAAGTCTGCCTGAAAGTCAGCATGCCTTAAGTGCAAGCTCATTAACAATGCTAAGAGGGCCCCCTGGCATATTGTCCATCGTCGAGGAGCCTCACACTCATGCTGGCTCAGTGCTGGTCATATATATTGTTTTATTTGCAAGGACAAAAGTAGAGACGGAAGCCACTAAAATGCTGCTCATTATTCAGAGAAAGGGAAAAGGGGTGAAGGGAGGTTCACGTGGGGTGGAATATCATTAAAGGGAATGTAAAACTGCTCTTTGTGCGTGTGACTGGAATGGATTAGTTTTGCATGTAAAATAAAAATTAAAATGGGACATTTGGTGCTTTTTAGATCATATATAAACATGTCCATGAAGTGACATTTGAGAGCGTCTCGTGCGCACGCCCCACACATTCGCAGGATTTATGAAGTGAAAATCATTAGATCAGACGCAGAGGTAGGGGAAAATGACTCATTTAGGTTTGTGACACGCTAACCTGTCTGCTCTCTGAGGCAATTACAACTTGTAGCTGTTATGAAGTTAATTAAATGTGTGATAAACAGTTGGTTACTGCTCGGTGTCACTGCTTCAGTCCCCTACTTTGACTCATTATAATGTGATGTCATGTCCTTGATAAGTTTTCCTGTATTAGGGAAAAAGAGGACGTTGGAGGCAGTTGACTTTTTGTGTATGAGTCATTTGATTGCAGTCTTAGTTGAAATTGCCTCAGTTTTGACAAATGTTTCTAAAATGGTGGGTCGTGATCCAAAAGTGGGTTGTTCGATACTTCTTTTAGGTCTTTTGTTTGGGTTGTATCTAGTCCTGGAAAAGACAATATTTGTAAGATGTTCTTTTCAAACACTGTTTCATCAAAACTATTGGTCAGAGAGTAAGGGTGTGTTTACACTCCAGCTTTTGCTCCATGTGACGGGTCAACTGGACACATGGGCTAACGCTACTTTATTCACAACTCATGATGCTGCCGGTTGCATTTCACTGACAAAAAAATGAATCCCATAGAAACCAAACACTTACTCAGACTTAAGAAGTACGCTAACAGGAGAGAGAAAAGGAGCAATCGTGAAGCAACAAGAACAAATGCATCTATCCCAGGAACAAACTGTAGTCTCTACGTTCTGTCCAGAACGACTGTTCTAACCTTTTCCCCTATCTATTCATCTACTCAGGTCTGGTTTCAGAACAGACGTGCTAAAGAGAAAAGGTTGAAGAAAGACGCCGGTCGTCAGAGGTGGGGCCAGTACTTTCGCAACATGAAGCGGTCACGGGGAAGCTCCAAATCAGACAAGGACAGCATCCAGGAGGAAGGCATGGACAGTGATGCAGAGGTGTCCTTTACAGGTACAGTCCATGTCCAAAATCTGCCTCCATCTTATTATTCCATGTCTCCACCACTGTTACACCAACATCTTCTCAGCTCTTCCTGTTGGTCCACTATGTCTCCACCTGCTCTATTTGACACCATCTGGCCAACGTTGATCATATCACTTTTATCTTTGTGTTGCACAGATGAGGACCAGTTCCACGACATCCGCTCCAACAGCCCCTATGGTCTTCCTCACTCACCAGGGTCGCTGCAGGCACTACCCAGACACCAGCCTCTGATCTCCAGCCTGGTCTACCCTGACTCCGGCCTTTCTATTATGACTCAAGGCAGCGGGCCGGGAATCAACCCTGCAGTCAGGGTCTCCATGGGGCCAGCCAATGGACCCAGCTCAGACCTGTCCACGGGCAGCAGTGGAGGATATCCAGACTTTCCAGCTAGTCCTGCTTCCTGGCTAGATGAGGTCGACCAGGGACAGTTTTGATTGATTATCTCCTAAAAGAGTTTGGACTGTTCTTCTTTTCATTTTTTTGTGTCATCTGTTGGATTTTAGAAACTGGACAGTGACTGTGTAAAGGACTAAGTTATCTTTGGACTTAAATTCACCCAGAACTCTGATTTGAATGGAAGGAGGGATGAATATGTCCTTCTTCAAAAAGCACTTGAGTAAAGAATCTTCTATGAGTTTAACTGTATGATAAGCACGTTGGAGTCTTTCCAATATATGTCATTTTCAGATACCACAATAAGCTTTTTTACTACCATGTACAGTCTTACGGTGAACTCAGAACATTTAGACATCAAACGTCAGTAATCCGACTCCTCGTCAATGTTTTCTGTTTTCTACGGTGTGTCCAGGTGCGGAATTCTGTTCAGAGATCAGAGTCTTGAAATGTCTGGTTGTTGCCAAATGTCTACGTATATATAGATATTTATCATTGTGGAGACTTTATTTTTATACAACCCCCTTGTTGGACACAAATACGTACTCAGATGTGAGGACTTTGTACATTCTTACACGGGGAAATAGGCAATGTAGATGTCGTCCTAAATGATCCACTTCATTTCTATGCATTTGTGTGTTCTCAGACAGCCCTTCAATTTGTTCTACTCAGAAAAACAAACTGAAAAAAGAACTAGGGTCTGATGTATGTGTTTGTTTATGTGAAAAAATGTTTTATGTCTTATTTATTCCTCATGGTGATAATGATGATGATGATAGTACAATGATAAGACTTTAATAAATTTGTCACCTTAAGCTTGATTCAGCTGGCTGGAGTAAACACATTTTTGTCAAAACACAGGGATATTGTCAGGGACGGGGGAAGTTGCACTGGTTTTCTTGGTTCATTGATGATTGATGAGGCAAAACAGAAAATGTTAGGGAATAATCACAACCATAGTTTTCTTGTTTGATGTTTCATAATTTTAATAAGAAATCTGGACTGCAGGCAGACCAGTAAGTTTTATGGAGGGATTTTGTGATATTTTATCACATCTGGAGAATTCTCCTGCTATGGCAACTGATGACTATTACTTCCGACTAACTAGTTTTTACCCAAAGCAAAGTACAAACACGAGCTACGGACCACAGTACCATCTGAACACCAAGTGGTGAGCGCTGAACTCGTCTCCCTTAAGAAGACTGAGCTACTGGTGAATTATATATTAATTTTTTTCTGGAAGTCAGGTCTGTACATTCTACTCGGACTAAAGTGTCAGAATATTTATTGCCAAAGTTCACAATACTAAGTCAATAAAACAAGTACTTTCAACGCTCATTTTTCTTTTTATCTCTCAGGCAGCATCTCTGCTGCACATTTATCTTACATAATTGTGGCTTATCACAGCACTGCCAGTGAAACCAGAGTCTGTCCACAGTTCTGGCTGCGTCTGCAAATTGAGTCTCTGGCTAACTACCAACGCTGTATCACGGGTTCAACAGCTCTTTAGTGGAGAAATTTGATGCAGACAGAGTCAACTCATCAATTCAGAGATTACTGGGTCTTGTTTGCCCAAATGCCGCTGTGGGAAAGGAATCTCCAATCCATTAGCTGAGGAGGGATCAAATGCCCCATGTGAATTTCCTCATTTGTTTAGTTAATTCAAAGTCAGGTTCAATTAAATAGATTAAACCCTGTGCAGGTGTCTGTTTGTGTCAGTTGTGCATGTGAGTTTAAACGTGCATGAGTACATGTTTATATAGATGGTTCACAAACCAGTTCTTCCAGTTCTATCACATCTTATATCTACTTTAATGATAGCAACATTTATTAATTTTCATTTAATTTTCCTATTTTTTATCAATATAGCTATTTTAAAAGTTCTAGGTTTCTAGTGGCAGTGAAAGGTATGTTAGATCACCACATATTGTTACCTGATGTGAAACACATTCCCCAGACTACATTAAAGATCATTTATCCTGTTCAAACACCATGTAAAAGAGGACTTTCAAATGGTGTTTTTTTTTTAAAGAAATGTAGTATTTTTTCAGTACCTCTTGACTTACCCTCATAATTTTTGTTTGTTTTTTTCCTTTTTTACGTAACATGTCATAGTTGTGAGTGTGTGCGTATTTCAAGTGTTTTTTTTACCTAGATGAACATCTGTGTGTCATCTACATAATGTCGAATAATAATTTGTTTTGAGAAAAGTAACGGTACAAATCTTATCTTTAAACAATTAGTTCGATTATCTTTCACCCATTTTCTCCTCTCTTATTTAACTTGTAAATAGATGAAAGAAGCTGAATCCTACCAGCTGAGTGGCAGGTTTTAATGTGGCCCCACAAAAGCAACATGTGTGTAACCTGAGTCCAGAGTGTTTGGCAAAGACAGGGGTGAGAGTGAAGTGTCAAAAGGCTGTGTTTTTCTCCCTACATTATCCTTCCTTTGTCATTTTACTTCTTGGGTGAGTTTTAAGGGATACGTAGCTTATTTGGACAAATACATTTAGAACAAAAAGGAAGTACTTGGCTTAAAAGTCTAAACTAAAAGCCAGAATCTGACCGTGTTATCTACTTGTGGTAAACCAGAGCTCAGATTTTTTACTATACTTTTCAGCTTGGCTCATGTTGCTAGTGTGAGAATTACCTGACCACAACATGAACCCATCACAGAAAATACCAGGGATTATCTCCCCCTACTCTTCTGGATTAAGGTGGGAAACTTCTTTTTTTTTTCTTTTTTTTTTTGGAGTTAGAAATTAGGTTAGGTTGGGTATGCAATTTTGTAAATGGGCCCAGAGGAAGGTGAGTATTTTTGGGCAGGTGGTAACTTTAACAATGTAAATGCTGGTAGTGTCGCCATAAGACACGTACATGGAGTAGATAAAGAAAGAAATACTAAGAAAGAAATACAAAGAAATGATTTTATCTACATTTAAAGAAGAATGTTGTTGTAGACGGTAACACATTTTCTGTACCTTAAAAATCAAACCAATTGTTTTCTGCACGTTTGTTCATACATGTATAAGAGTGAATTTAAATATTTAACTTTGTGCATCACAACATCGTTAATCATGTTAACCAACTTTTGGAGGGAAACTTGTTGAATATTCATGCAAGGAGAATACGGGGCCGCTGCCTTTATTTTGTTGTTGTCACATATTATGGCTCACAAAATTCTTTATTTTATGTTTCTGACACTTTTACTTGCAGTGTTTATATGGCCATTCATTGTGGCATAAAATATTTTTTTGCAATAGAAATTTATACCAACAGCCATCGCCATCACTAGTGCATGACAAGAAGGAGATTCTGATGGATTATGAAGAATTATAGTAGTGCATGACAAGAAGATTCTGATGGATTATGAAGAATTATATTAAATAAACTTTTGTTTTAAATAACTTTTAAATAAATAAGCTGAGAAAAAAACACTCTAGTTTACTGCAATACATTGTTCATTCACAGTGAGTTGAATTTCTAAGTATTATGATGTTGAATTAATTATTTTTGAATATCATATTATTTATCACACTTTATAATTTAAAAATTGCATACAATGTTTGAAGCTGTAGCAGAGTGTGATAGAAAACAACAATCAACAGATTGACGGTGATTTTTAGCACGTTTAAAAACAAACAAAATGTGATTGCTTTTCGATGCTGACATGTTATTTTTGGCAGCGTAACAAAAAAACACGAGGTCCACATTACACAGAGCGTTAAACTGTTGTTTTTAACTCCTTCGGTGCAGGACTCTAAGCTCAACACACACGCACACACACACACACATACATACACGGACACACACACACACACCCTCCAGTGTCAGATGGTGCTGAGTAAATCAGCTCTGACAATAACACCTCCCTTGGGTCCTACACATCACTGCTACAATTCAGACCTAATGGAGCAGCAACTGAGGGGAGGCCGCTTGGTGCGTGCCTGTGTGTGCGTGCGTGTGTTTGTGTGTAAATATGCATGGTACATGGTAACAGTTGTGTGCTCTTTTTTTCATCTGAGGACCTCTGGTTTAGGGGAGGGTGAGGATGGAGGGTCGACGGGGGAGGTTGATTTCAGAGTGGGTCATCTTTGCTGCAGATATCAATCAGTGGAATCAGGATGTGTGGTAAAGCATATATAGAATATAGTAGATAAAATAATGAATAAGAAGAGACAGAGGTATATCATTAATACATAATTATTCATTATATAATTGATTGATAATACTTCTGTATGCTTTATAAATAAAATTGTTTACGTAAAATGAATTCCCTCGTTCATTTTAGAGAATAACACAAAGTATTTATTTTTGATATCAGTAAGGTCTGTACCCTGTCTCATCCTGAACAGGAAGTCCTCCTGATGAAATAGAGTGGGAAAATAACCCCTGTAGGTGGCAGTAATGCAACTCAGGATTTAGGAACTTAAGTAGAAGCATGGCGAGTAGTGTTAGCAGAATTAGATTAGCACTAGCCTAGCCTTCCCAAAGATTAAACTGTACATAATTATACTCAATGTGCATAGTTATTCTAACTATTTTTTTTTTGCCCTGCCCCTGTAGTCAGTGGGGTCCCTAGTAGCACTAAGGCCGAGCAACAAGCGACTGTATCTGTTCCCAACACTTAACAGCCTCAGTTCCACTTTCTTTGTCCAGAAGACATGCTACATGCTAGCGTAGCAAGTTAGCGGCGCCAGTACAATGTTGAATCAGAGAACATGCTGCATACTTAGCCAACCCTGCGGGCCAGAGAAGGTGAGCTACATGCTCAATGTTGACAACCATAGAACACAAGTATAAATGAACAAAACGTAATCTTTGTTAAGAAATTATATTTTATCATTTCCAGATAAAAATCTCATATAAAAAAACTTTGTATCTAATTCACAGGGATGGCAACAGAATTAAAAGAATACAAATATCCAGCTAAGTGTCTTCACGCGGATCAGCAAACAGACTGCAAACACAGCACAGGCCAACAGCACACTTTTGTTTATGCACCAGATTAATGGCGGCAGCATTAAAGCAATCTAACTAATCAACACGGTCATTAGCGTGTGTTTTCCCTGACAACTTTAATCACATCCATCACAGCTCCACCTCTCCATCAGCCGGCGTCTGCATAATTATCTCTTCATTTCATCCTCAGATGGGATTGCTGTATCTGGTGATCTGGCGGCAATAGCTGACTGCAATGCATTAAGGAACAGTAATATCAGCAATAAAGGCTGTAGTGCAATAGTTCTTAGTCCCAGTGCAAGCTGCGCTGAAGTGTCAGTGTTTTTTTTTTCTTTATTCAATGCTCTGCAATGTGTACGGGTCATACCATGACGAGGGGTATACGACATTTTTTAAGTTAATTTTCTACCAAAATGTAAAATATTTGAAAAAAACATTTGAAATAAAAAAATAAATATAAAAAATACATGCACGACACTACAATAGAATTGGAGCAGAGAGTTTAGCACCAGACGGAAGTGGATTTTTTTTTTCATGATCTGTGGTCGGTCCTATCTGTGGCACATTTTCACTGTTTTGTTTGTTTAAATTTTTTAGAAAATATAAACTAAAGTCATAACACATTTTCCTGCTTTGTAAATGTCAGACTCTTTTTTTTTCTTGAACACAATTTGATTTTTTTTTTTCTTTGTACAATACCAGGGAACATTATTTTATGCTGCAGTAGACGGTCTTAAGCAGCCCACCTCGGTCCCACTATCCCAGCAGCAGGACAATCTTAATGCATTACTGACTAATGGCTCCAAAGTCATGCATATTCAGCAGCAGTTCCTGCCCTTGGCCTTTGTGCATAGACATTTCTCCTAACCGGTTCGGCTTTCTGATTCCTCAGACCTTTTCACACTATTAGGTGTAGATGGTAACAGGCCTGCATTCTGTACTGTTTTGCAATGAGAATTTTTATTTTTTTTTTTTTTGCCGTTTAAAAATTTTAAATGGCAACTTTTCTCAAAATATCTAAGAACGTGGTCGGCCATGTCTCTAGGATGTTTCATGTATGTTGTTGTTCTGTTTAGATGAAAAAAAAATGTATTTAAATATGTAATTGTAGAAATAAATTATTTGAACAAAATTCTAGCAAAATTGCAGTTTGCGTAGACGTGCCTGCTGTTCTAGGAACGCAGTTTGTTCATGAAACACGCATTCTCTACCATTATTGGTCGGAGTATTATATTTATGTTCTGACTGACTTTTCTAATTGTACAACAGAGACAAATAACAGAATATAAATTCAGCTTCACTGCTAGGAATTTAATAGTTCTTCTGACCAACATTTTGATAAATGACCAGTACTCCTAATTAGTGAATTGGGATTTGATTAATTTTCCGTGCATCAACGGAGTAATTAAGCAATCATTGCCGCATTAATTGTTTTTTTACGGGTTATAAATCTTACATCTTCCACTTTGTTGGTTATCCAAACCACGTCTTTGTTAAAGGACGCGGCACATGAACGTTCCGTCTTTCAGCAGGCACTGGTCAATATATTTGTCCTATAATATTGATGCTTTACCATATTTCTTTTGTGCTTGGCTCCCTTATCACTGCTCCGATTTCATAGTGTGATAATCACCCTTTTCTCATTAGGAGCCTTTGCTCCAAAGAGCCATTTCCAGGCCTCTTGGCATCTATGAGGTGTTAACAGCTCCCCACGGGAGGCTGTCTGGCTCACACATAACCCTCGACCTCCCCGCCCACGAATGCAACACTCACCCAAACCACTCAGAGTCACAGATGGCCGCTATACCAGCAGCTAGCCAACATGCTTTTCAATTATCACCACACTCAGGGAAGGGCCATTGCTCAGCTGTCAGCACTAAAGGGACACAGGAGATGAGCAGGGATCCAAAGAGTGATGAGAGAATCTTGGAATTCCTGCATCCCAAACTTGGAAAACTCAGAAGAACAGACTTTAATTTGAAAAAATCTAACATTTATCGCCTCCTAAACCTAAAAAAAAAAAAAAATTGTAGCAGGAGCCGACATCATCAAAGTGGCTCTTCCTTCTTCTAAGTCTGCTCTGATCTCTGCCATGATGACTCAATATATCACTTAGTATAATTATTGTTTTTGAAGCCAGCAGCTGAAGTGGTAAAGAGAGGTGAGGTGAAGCATCGCAGCTCATTTGTTACCACCAATGAAAATAGAGCCCGAGGAGGAGAGACACCAAGGACAAGCTCTGCTTGTTTGTGTGATAGTGGTCTAATTTGAATATTGCTTCAAAGAAAGACAAATACGTTATTGGATGGTGTGGTGTGGTCACGCAGCTGATGTTTCCATATCCAGCGTCGAGAAATTACTTTGTTTATGAACTAGATGACACATCCTGTCAAATGTAGAAGTTCAGAGATTATGTTATATTATAATTTATTTTCTTAGTCATAATGAATAAATCACATAATCCCATAAACGTAATTAGCTAAATAATTTCAATGAGCGACTAGAAGAGTGTGGTGTTTCTTTTTATCTACATAGACGGGGGGAGGGGCAGGATCAGCCCAGTAGGTAGTTATATTTCTAATAAAGAGTAACTGAGAGATTGTTAGTGTCTACAATGAGATGGTAATGTAGTAAAGTTTTTAAATTTGTGATTAAAGACAATCATATTATGGTTTAAGTAAAATTGTCCAAATACTGTTGGAGGTTTATGACTAAAATACCAAAGGTAAACGGTCACACCTGTGTATAAATGTTTAAGTAAATGTTTATTGTTGAATAATAATATTAATAATAATAACAATTATTATTATTAATATTATTAGAAAAAAATTCTAATATGTTCTGATTCTATAAACTATTACTTTTAAAACCTGAATCATGCACGAAACTAACAGTTCCTTCAATCCGTCTGTTCTCTTTTCTACCATTTTCTATGGGACTTTTTCCAAACAAATGCACGTTATCTGTCTTTCCTTGAGAGCAGAAGTAATCCAGCTCCACTTCGAGGGCACCCCAAGGTCACAGCCATCAGTCGCCAACACTCAATCCAGGTTGGGACATTTGTTCCAGCCCCTCTCTCCTCCTCACTGTCTCTCCCTCTGTCTCTCCTTCTCCCTCTCTCCCCCATAAAACATGGCCGTTGTTTTCCTTCTTTTTTTTCATAATTCATGTCAAAGGATCTCTGGAGGGATGAGTGAGGATGGGTGAGTTGGGGTGGTGGTGGTGTTGGGGGGGGCAGTGGAGGTGTAGAGGACAAGGGGGTGGAGAGGGCATACACTTAATCCCTGGGTCAAGATGTATTTATTGAAGATTAATAACCGAGCAGCAATCTCATCATGCTCTCGATGATTTTATAAT